TCTCGCAAACTGAACATAACACTTTCTTATTTCGTAGAGCTAGTAAATAATCTCTTTGTCAGCTTGTTGCAGTATTATTGTAAAGAGATATTTTCTCAATCATTTTGACCTGAATTTTCCGTTTGATAATTTAGTCCGTGTGTTGTGACCCGATATCGTTCACTTTCATTAAGCATGTCTTAGATCTGAAATATTTTGACGGGAACTAACACTTTCGAACACGCTGAGTTCAAATCCGAAAAGTTCCCACTCCGTAGACCCGCAGTTTTCTCACAAACTGCTATTTTATCTTCTATAATTTCATAGCAAATTTTTCATTGTTCAACGACATGGATCGATGACGATACACGATTATGTCATTCAAAAGGACCAATTTCTATTAACCATTCTTCCTTTTAACAAAAGACCGGTTTTGCTCGAATCATTTTGAGTTATGCAATCTTATGCGTTTTGGACGTAAACAACATATCTTGTCTACAACTTTGAGAAGGTACAGATAATTCCTTCTAATATCCTTAGTTCTGGATCTATCTCTATAAAATTAAAAGGAGGTTAATGTTAAGTCTTTTGGCTATGTCACTGCCCTGAAAAATAACTCTTTTAACGCGATCAAGGTATTTAAAACAAAAGTAACACGAAGCAAACGTATACGGCAAAGACAACGCTAAAATGAACTATTGTCGATTCGTTGCTGGTAGAACACTTACGACAGGATCAATCTTAAATAACCTTAAACTATAGGAATAAATGTTCACATCAAAGACAAAGATCAGTCCCTAAGTATAAAATATGCTCTGTAAACTTACGACGAAGTGGAGAAATGCGTGCATGAGCTGTTTATTTGATGATTTCAACGTACATGGAAGCCCTCTTTCCAATAATATTCGCTTATCGCACAGTATAACACCAACTGATGTAATAGTTCAAATGCAACTCAGAAACTGTGTTGGAAATTTAAATGCTGATCCATTACATATAGATTACCGTTTTACATCGTTGTATCAAACACTTTGATCGCATGTAAGCAATTATTTTTCAGCCCAGAGACATAGCCCAAGGACTTAACATTAACCTCCTTTTAATTTTACAGAGATAGATCCAGAACTAAGGATATTAGAAGGAATTATCTGTACCTTCTCAAAGTTGTAGACAAGATATGTTGTTTACGTCCAAAATGCATAAGATTGCATAACTCAAAATGATTCGAGCAAAACCGGTCTTTTGTTAAGAGGAAGAATGGTTAATAGAAATTGGTCTTTTTGAATGACATAATCGTGTATCGTCATCGATCCATGTCGCTGAACAATGAAAAATTTGCTGTGAAATTATAGAAGATAAAATAGCAGTTTGTGAGAAAACTGCGGGTCTACGGAGTGGGAACTTTTCGGATTTGAACTCAGCGTGTGCGAAAGTGTTAGTTCCCGTCAAAATATTTCAGATCTAAGACATGCTTAATGAAAATCGTTTTCTAGGCACTTTTCGAGGTCACAACACACGGACTAATTATACGCCGCCCCCCGGTTTACCGCCATATTGGGTGTGGCATCGTGCAGAGGCTTCGCGCCTTGATAGCCAATTAAAGCCTCTGCGGAGGAGAGACACACAATGTCATAACGAATGCAAGCAAGCGATGTAGTTTGTTGTCGCAGTTTTACAAGCGCGGAAACTTTTTAAATTTTAAATATTTCATGCACAATATATGAAAACTAGCTTTATTAGGATGTTTTTGGATAATTTAAGTACGTAATTTTCTGAAAATCATCACATGATAATGGGCTTTTTTAATTTTTAAACATATTTTTGGCTTATTTTTGACATGTGCATGCCAAATCTACACAATGCCATAACGAATGCAAGCAAGCGATGTAGTTTGTTGTCGCAGTTTTACAAGCGCGGAAACTTTTTAACTTTTAAATATTTCATGCACAATATATGAAAACTAGCTTTATTAGGATGTTTTTGGATAATTTAAGTACGTAATTTTCTGAAAATCATCAAATAATAATGAGCTTTTTTAATTGCTGCCGAGCGAAGCGAAGGCAGCCACCTATTCTTGACGACGTTTACAGTTTTTACTCGTGCCAGATCCCCGCGCGACCTATGTATTTTAGCCAAAGCAAATCTCAATTTGTTTGTCGTTCGGTCATTCGGGTCGCATTTTCTGACGTCACAGAATGACGCTGTGTAAAAAATTATATACGCAGGAAGTGAACGATGTCAATCCGATCACGTCCGAAAGCTGTGTTCGCTGTGCCGTAGCTTCGTAGGAGCTATGACATTTAAATTTGACATGCCATTTGGCATATCGCGGTACGAATGCACGAGGCTTATTTTACAATATTACTATTTGATTTTGGAGGAAAAGAGTTATATTTTTGAAGATATGTTGATAAACTGAATAGTTATTTGAACGTTTGAATACAATGAACGTGATAATCTGTTTTTAATATATTTATATAAAAACTCGAATTCTATCTCCTCTAGGTGTATATAATTTGGCGTGTGTTCATGGCGATTATTTGGTCAAATCAAATCAAAAGGGGCCGTTCATATTATGTTTTTCAAAAAGCAGTGAATTGTGAACTCGATGTACCTGTACCAAACTTGCCAGGGATGTGTGAACTCGCTATATTTTATACTTTATACCTTATACTAGCGAAGTGTGACCTCGCTAAGTGGGCCCTATGGCTGGGCAATCGTTGACGTTGGCAATAATACAGTTGTATACTGAGAATGTCAAAAGATCAAGCCAACAAGGTATTGTATATCAAATTTTACAAATATATAGGTTGTATGTCAATTAGAAAATTGCCAATAAAAATAGTTGTATACACTAAAATGATTATTAATATTGTTATGGGAATATGATACATTGCAGTAAAGCCCTGCATAAAAGAACCAGTGAATTTTTACTTCAGACTGAAGTGGTTCTTTAATCTTTATATATAATCTTACTTCACACTATACTTTTTTATATTCTACACATTAAGTAGGGACTGTTGTTGCATAAAACTATTGCTATGACACTAATGGGTCATTCCAGAAAACATCCATACCACCCCCACGGAGGAAATAGGAAGTTAACCCCCCTACCCCCTTTGGATGTCCTAATACATTTACTATTATCAGAAACAATTTTTTCTCCCCTCCCCTTCCAGATAGCAGAAATTTCCCGTCTGTGGGGGGAGTATGGATCTTTTCTGGAACGACCCAATATGGTTCTTGTTGCATATATCTAAACTGTAAAAAAAATTTAAAACTTGTATTTTTGGTGCTTAATTGCCCCAACTTCAGGCTAGTGGTTCTTAGCCTACTGGTTCTTTTATGTGAGGCATAGACCTTATGCATAATGACGTCTCAAGGCTTGGTGCCTGCGAGGAATGCTGGTCTTAGTAGTCATCACAGTCCAGGAAAATTTCAATAGTGGCCATCCCGCATTATTTAATTCTCCCGGGCGATGACCAGCATTCCTTGTGGGCATCAAGCCTTGTGACATCATTATGCATAAGGTCAAATGAGCAGTATTATGTCCGAATTGGAAGACACAATTGTATACAAATGACAAATTATCTGAGTGACTTGTTTTCGACAATGCTCACAATTTCTTTCTTATTATATAGTTTTGCAGTTCTGACTGAGTGCAACCTTAGTCATTTACACAATGAATGGTGTCATACGAAGCTGACGTATTAAACAAAAATGTCAACAAAATAGATTGTGTCTCCCCATTGGCTGATTGTTCAGTTGTTCTGCAGTAGGGGTAGCCTTGAAGGTGTCATTAAAATGATAATTGGGACAAAACTGACTTACTGGTAGTATTTGTATGTATGAAATTGTTATTAAATTGTACATATCCAATGATTCATTCAAGTATTATTATCATTTGTTATATATGATATTGTACAGTATTCAGTGGCAAGCTGGCCATGACAACTGGTCATGATATGCTAATAAAATTGCATCTATTTGAATAATGCAAATTATTAAAAACTTGCATAGCATGACCTGTAGACTTTCGCAAAGTCCTTCATCTTTGTTTAGAACGAAGGAATTTTCAAGGAAGTAATTTCTTGAAGAGTAAGGAATTTGTGGAAGTCAATACAATTAGAATATTTAGCTGAGCTTTGATTTTGTGCAAAGTGTTTTCATA